AAGCCAATGAACAAAAAGTTGAGATTTCCCATAGTAATTTACATGTAAACTTCAAATGGCTTGTGCGAAGTCTGTTTCAAACCAAATGAGTTGTAAGTTTGGGGGGCTAATCAGGACCCGATTTGGAACCGTTTGAGCACTGCGGAGCGAAAAAGTCAAATTTTGCATCAGTCTAACCACCACCCACGGTGAGTGGACTGAATCCGATCAGCGGTTGAGGGTAGCCTTCATAGCTAGCTTGCGGGGAGCCTTTTGTTGTGTACTGAAGAACACCACCACTCACATCGCGGTGATTGAATAAACATAAAATCTGTGTTAGGGACAGTGTTGGAAAAGTTCACCAAAACTCACTATGACTCGCGAACTTTTCCCTTGGTGAACTTCGTGAAATATCGCGATCTTTTCCAAATCTGGTTAGGGAAGCCGCTTTTTGCAGGCAATCGGTGATAATTTTAGTTATCATAGCAACAACATTCGTGCAATTGTCAATAATGACAATTTGAAAAACGATAAAGTCTTAAATTGAACAGATGCGTAGAAATATTTCTAATCGATTGGTGATAGAATTATTGAAATTGGTCCAGGAGCAGCTGAGTTATTAACGTTCAAAATCTTTCACAATTTTGTTGCATGTTCCATTTTCGGTTTTCACAAAGTGTACCCCCATAAAAAAATCACAGACGTAGTCCTACGTCAAAAACCGTGCAGTCACCTGAAAAATCCATCGTGGTCCGCGTCCAAGCTGGCTTAAGTGTTGAATTTTCCTAGGCGCGTGCTCAAAACGTACAGGGCAAGCTTGACGACGAATCGGAAGCCTCAAGGTAAACGCCGGAGTGGAACTGTCAACCTTCAGCTCCATAGAAAGGTCATAAGGTCCATCAGAAGCAACCCAGGTGTGTCCGATCACGATTTGTGTTAACAGTTTGATGCTGCCCGTAGTACAGTGCAGTGAATTAGTTCCCGCGAAAATTTACAGACAGTATGCAACCAAATCGATCATTCAAGCAGAATACAGTAGCTAGAACGCGAAAGCTGTACTACAATCTGCTGAACAAGTTATGGATTATGAAACCTATGTAAAGGCCGACTTCGGACAGCTTCCAGGACCAAACTTTTACAAGGCAAAGGCCCAAGGAGGTGACCCTGGCAGATTCAAATTTGTTTTTGCGGATAAATTCGCATGCAAATATTTGATCTAGGAAGAAATTTGCAGCTGCTGGCAGAAGACAAAGGTTTTCGTCACTGAGAAAAATATGAACTCGGAGGTTTCAAAACCGAATGTCTTCATAAGCGAATTCTACCCTTCATCCAGTCACATGATGGTCCGGTGACAGTTTGGCCGGATCTTGCTAGTTGTCAATACAGCCGGGAACTACACCAATGGTACAATAGCAATGGAGTTCAGTTTGTTCCGAAAATCCTCGAAAACGCCCAATTGTCCCCAGTTCAGGCTTTTTGAAAACTACTGGGCAATTATGAAAAGGAAACTGAAGGTAAAATTGCAGCTCAGATGAAAAATTTGTGGGATAAAATCGCCAAAACAGTGGACGAGACCGTTGTCCGTCGCTTGATGAGTAGTATGAAAGGAAAAGTTCGAGAATTCCTTTAAAACCGTGAAGAATAATTCGTTTCGTTTTTTTTTTTCTTAAATTAGGAATAGTATGCACTTGAGTGAAAACGGTTTTTAATCCTTTAATTCAGCCCGAAATGACCCAAACTTTAATTCTGAAATGGTGGCTGATCCTCAAATTCGGAGATTCAAGATAGCTGGTCGTTGATAAAATGTTCGATCTATTTGAAAGAAATGTCATTACAATTGCAATGACAATTTGAATTTCAAGATGGGGATTTATTTAAAAATGGTAGTTTATAGTTACAACTCATTTGGTTAGAAACAGGCTTCGCACAAGCCATTTGAAATTTACATGTAAATTACTATGGGAAATCTCAACTTTTTGTTCATTGCCTTCTAGCCTTTTTCCATATTGAGCTGCGACACAGTTGTGTAACCATTCTTATAGAAAACTTTCTCAGCTACAACTTTGTTGAAGATCGTTTCTATGTAAAACGAGACCGGAAAAAGTTATTAATTATTTAAGAGATTGGTAAACTTATGACATGATCAAGCAGCTGCTCTGTAGGCAACACTGTAGTATGCAGTGTGACATAGTAGCCATGATTTCTGTGTCCTATTCAACGCCCCAGAAATACCAATGTTGCCTGCTGAGCAGTTGAATGAGCATGATCATAAGACATCAGCGCATTGAACCATTGATAACTTTCGATCCTTGCATTTAATCAAAAAGTGGTCTTGAGAAAAGTTAAAGCTGGGAAAATTGCCAATAAGTACAGTTGAAAGCTTTTGAAGCAGGCCGATATGGTGAATTATTAGATTAACATGAACAAAAATCTTGGCTTTACCATAGTAATTCCCATACAAACTTCAAATAGTTTGTGCCATCTCAGTTTCTCACCAAATGGGTTCAAATTTTGAGAGGTTAGTCAGGATCCGATTTGGAATCGTTTAAGTATTGTGGAGCGAAAATTTTAAATTTTGCATCACTCTAATGGTCCGGAGAAGTTCTAGGTCGATAAGTTGACACCGGCTTTCGTAGCTGGGTATTCGAAATGGATCATTCTAAGGCAATCTACGCAACGCAAAACGAAGAGAGTGACGTTGAACAGATTCAATTCTCTCGGCACCGTTGTTGTATTTTGGGTTCCAAACCGCTGAACAACACTCAAGCGTCGATCGAACAAGCGAACAATAGAGAGATTTTAGACAGTAGATATTAGTGAAGTTTTTAGCTATCCTAAAAATGAACCCTAAAGTTCTTGACGCCTTATCAACAACATATGCAATGTGTTGCTTGAATGAAAGCTGCGAATCCAAGATTGCACCCAAGTCTTTCACCTGATTCACGCGTTTGATTGTCGAGCCAACCAGGTCATAGCTAAAAATTATCGGTTGTTGTTGTGAGAACGCAATAGCGGAGCATTTGGCTGGGTTCACTACCATTCTGTTTAACCTGCACCAAGTAGCGAATACATTCAGTTGTCGTTGAAGAAAGTGACAGTCAGCAATGGAGCACATTCGTACGAAGATTTTGGGGTCATCTCCATATGATAACCGAGGAGCTTCGATGACCAGATGCACGTCGTTGAAGTACAGTATAAAAATTAACGGTCCCATGTGGCTTCCCTGAGGAATACCTGATGTGGCGAAGAAGCTAGCTGATCTGCAATCTCCTATGGCAACCTTTAGTTGCCGACTGGTAAGATATGATCGAAACCAACTCAAAAGATTACCGCATACACCGAGCCTGCCGAGTTTAGCAATCGGAATAGCATGGTTCAACTTGTCGAATGCTGCGGATAGGTCTGAATAAATAAAGTCCGTTTAAACCCGATCCGACATGCTTTCGTAAGACACAGCAGATTGTTGGTTGTAGAGCGGCCGACAGTAAACCCATGTTGATCAGCACTCAAATACTGCTTGCAATGGGACAGCAACGGTTCCATAATCACTAGATCGAATCGCTTCGAAACGGCACTTAACGATGTAATTCCTCGATAGTTATCCACAGCTCGTTTCCTTCCTTTTTTGTGGACGGAAGGATGCAGCAAGATGGAAATATGCCGCTGGAGAGAGACATTCGGAACAGGTGAAGAAGTGGAATTAACAAGCTAACAATATGTCTCTTCAAAAATACAGATGGAACTCCATCAGGTCCAGGATTGAAGGATGACTTGAGCAGAGTCGCGGCCTTAGAAATCATTTCTGCATTAACATCAAATGCACCCAGAGTTTGATAATTTACTGGAACGTTCCTAGCAGCCAGGTTAATATGGTCGTCAGTTAGTATCTCATTAGTGAATACACTGGCAAACTTTTCGGAAAAAAGGTGGCATATATCCTGAACGGTGGCAGCAACTTCTCCGTTGAATTCCATAGACGATGGATTCCCTGCGTTGCTCGTTCACGTAGTTCCAAAAGGATTTTGGGTGTAGCTTAAGTTTGCGCTGGATGCCTCGTTGGAAACTTGAAAAGCATTCACGACTGACTCGCTGGTACATGTGATTCAGCCTCACATAATGTAGTTTCTCTTGATTGACTTCGACCTACATAGCTCTCTCGTCTGCCAGGAAGGGTGAGACACTTTGTGGTGAGTTCTTTTCGGGACGTGTCTGTCAATGACATATGCCAAGACATGTGAAAAGGTTTGCGGTGCAGCCTCAACGTCATCTGGATCAAGGATGTTCTCCCATAACATGCTAGACAAGCGTAGCATCTATGATGCTACGGTGGTCAGCTTTGCGGAAGTCATAAGAAACCGAAGCAGGATAGTCGTCGAAATCACGCACGAGTTTGTCCTCAGCAGTGACAATTAGAGGAGGGTGATGTGGAACTAGCTTAATTAGTGCACAAAGAGCCGAGGAATTGATGGAGCCCTGTCCTGTCTGCTCACGAAGCAGAGGTCCAAACTACGACCATTTTCGTTAACTACATGGTTAATTTGAGAAAGCGTCGCTGCGCTGTAGTTGTCGAGAAGGCTAATAGCTCCTGCGTGAAATGTAGAGCTATCAGGATCTGGGTACAGGAATCCGCTATGAGATGAACTCCACGAAACGCCTAGTTAAATGTATCTAATTAAGAATAACCTCAAACAATTCTGGAACGGTTCGTTAAACTTAAGGTTCAAGTTGATTTAAAAAATATGTCATTATGAAATGGCAGCCGGATGGTTTCGAAAATTGTTAGATTTATCTAATTAGATTTAAAACTACTCAACTTCATAAAACTACCTCAATCAAATAGGCTAAAGTTCTCACCATGGTTCTTTGCATTTGTTTCTTAATGAACTTTTATCATCGAGGCCACAATGTTCCATCAAAATCTTCCTGCTATTCTTTTTTTTTTTTGGAAAACTAAGGATTCGATGCAATATATAATACAAATATCTACAGATCCTGAAAAAATCATGAATTTAGGTACTCACCCATCACCGAGTTCGCCACCAGCATTAACACGATAATCCACTTGTACAGCCGCAGCTGCTTGTAGCACCGGAAGTTGTGATACCGGCTGAGCATGATGATCTTGGAGATCATTTTGATCATCTTGATCACGATCACCAGAATCTTCTTCATTCCGGTTTTATAGTTGCTTTTGTTGTTGCTGTTGTTGCCACGTTGTTGGTGACAGCGTAGTAACGACTATGACGACGATGACGACGACGACAATGAAACGACTTGATGACGACCAACGACGACGACGACAGTGACGATGATGATGAATGGCGAAGTTGTGAAAAAGAGAGAAAGAGAGAGAGACTTCTCTGAACTACGATTTCCGCTTTTTCTTTTTCTTCTTTCGAGTCAGTGTTGCAGGATTGCTCTAGTAGTAGTAGTTGTTGTTGATGTTATTGTTGCTGTTGTTGTTGTTGTTGTTCTTTGTTGCCTACTGTTAGCTACTAGTAGTTGGTGATTGTTCCTCTAAATCCTTTTGTGATATTTCGTTTTTTTTTTTTCACCGGAGTGGTTGCTTGTTGGTTGTTTTTTTCTTTTCCGTCGATGCCGGTTGTTTTTGGGTTTTATCAAATTTGTTAGTTTACGCTACTGATATTAGTACTTGTCCTTAAGTAGTGATGAATCGATTTTTTTGGTTGGTTTATATACTTTTAATAACAATATGCTATTAGTTGATGTTTATTTTTCATTGATAAGTTTCTCTGTTTATTATTGAGTTTTCCAAACATATTATTCGAACTTGTTTTTTTTTTTGCTTTATTATTAAGATGGATTAAACTTCCTGTTCCTTTATGGTTATTTTTTTTTATTAATATTAATTCAATTTGTTGAAAATTTGTTAAAGTACTATTGATATTATTATTATTGAATTGCAGCAAACTTGTCTTTGTTTATGAAACTTTATTTTTTTCAATCTTTACGAGTAATATACTATTCTTGTCTCTTGCGTTTACTATTAATCAATATCAATTACTTTTTAATCCAATTAAGGTTTACTATACAACTCTCAAACGGCTTCTGCGTTTAAGATTATCGGTAGAGAGTGAGAGTTTTTTAATCGCATGATGTCCAATTTGTGCTTCGATTCTGCTTTCGAGCCCAGCTTCGGTGTGAAGTTTTGGACAGTGACCGAACGTGGTAGAAGTTAATGCGAATTTTTCCAAGATTACCTTCTCCACAAGACTTTTGCTCTCTTCTTGCTCACTTTGGTGCTGATCTTTCCCGAGACGTCACCGTATTCTAGTGCGAAATTTTCCGTGCGTGAGCGAACTCCTGCTTCTTATACTTGATTCACGAAAACTGAACCAGTAGGATGTTAGCAATGGGCTATGAGCGTGTTTGTGTGTGTATGTCTCCTTAAGGCGTAGAGATCCGGGGACCAATTCCAAGTTGCCTAGACGGATCGAAGCGTGGCAGTACGATTTGTGTGCTTTGTAAGTTCGAGACAGACCCAAGACCTTGTGAGCCTGCGTTCTGTGCTAGTATCGAAAATCTACGGTAGTAGTGCCTTGTAGTCTGTATGTGTTTCTCCTATGCGGCATAAGTAACTTATCCGCCTTTAGGCAATTTCTGTGACTTTAGTGAAACGATTATTCCGAGCGTGACCCTTTCAGTTTCTCTCGAAATAATGCACCGATTGATCTATTACGCCGTCCACCGGTGATGATTCCGTCGTGGTAGCTGTTGTTGTTCCGGTTCGCATAGCAATCGTTTCCGAATGGTCGAATTTTCATGATTCCAAACCAGACCCATTCCCTAGTAATCCAACCCGGCCCGGCAATAGTCGATGGAAGCGTGAACTCCAATCGATTCTACTGCTCTGCCACCGACCGTGATGACTGCTGAGTCTCCAGCAACAACTATTTCCGCTGGGTCCGATATTTCCGACGCTAATTATCACCCTAGGGTCGATGCTGCTGCTGCTATCAGTTTTGACGTCGGAGATGTTGCTGCTGCAGCAAGTTGTGGTGGTGGATCTGCAGCCACTGTCACCGGATGTGTTGCATCGAATGAAAACGCACATTGGAATACCGAATGTTGGCCGCAGGATTTTTTTTTTGTCACTCTCGCTTTTTTTTTTTATTTCGGGTGTCAACACGATGTTTGATGTGCGATATTTTTCACGTTTGCCTGGCTCAGCTTTTTTATATAGATGGTGGTATTATTGTTGCTTGTTGCTCGTTCTACTCTGCATGTTTCGCTAAATTGATCGTTGATGACGATTCACTGCATTCGATCTGAAATTGAAAATCAATGGAGTGAATTAGAGTGTGGCATTGCAGTGGGTTTAATTGTTTATTATAAAATATATATAGTCCTTCTTGAGCCAGCTTCGAAAAGTGTCCTTTGACGCAATAAAGGCAAGTATTGGTTTTCTATAAGGGTGAATAAAAATGTCGATACATTCAGTAGCCTTCTTGGGCTGGATAATTTTCAAAATTCATTTAGCTGTTAAAAAATCGATTGACAATCGGTTTTTGCAAAACAAATTGCGTTTTGTCGGGGATAAAGTCTGTCAATAAAATGTAAAGGGTGTCCACGATGAAATTGCCACACTATGAAATTGCTCTAACTTTTTAACCGTTGGGTAGAATTTAATGAAAATTTGGGTGGATTTAGTTCATAGTGCATTATTTACATCCTGCAAGTTTTAAAGTCCTGTGATCAAAACTCGCGGAAATGGAGTCGAAAGAACAGCTCGTGCGTGATAAAATCTTGCGCATTCATCACGAGAACAAGGATCTCTTGCATCGTTCCATCGCTAAAACGTTGGGAATCGCGAATTCCACGGTGTCGCGAGTGATTAAGCGGTTCGAGGAACGGTTGACCACCGATCGGAAGCCCAGAAAGGAAGGAAAAAGTATTCCGTACAACACCAAAAATCACAACCGCGTAGTTGGGGCCTTCAACCGAAATCCGAACGCCTCCGTTAGGGATGTGGCTAAGAAGCTGCACCTAAGCCGAAGTTTTGTCCAGAAGGCCAAAACTAAGGCTGGGCTTCGAACGTTCAAGGTACAAAAGGCCCCTAATCGCGACGAGAAGCAGAACAAGTCCGCCAAAACCCGTGCCAGGAAGTTGTACCTCAACATGCTGACGAAAGTTGAATGCTGCATCATGGACGACGAAACATATGTGAAGGCCGACTTCAAACAGATCCCCGGCAACCTGTTTTTCACGGCCAAGGATAAGTTCAGCGTTCCGGAGCATGTCCGCACTCAGAAGATGTCCAAATTTGCGAAGAAATTCCTGGTTTGGCAAGCCATCTGCACGTGCGGGAAGCGGAGTGCACCTTTCGTGACCCAGGACACGATGAACGGACAGGTGTACATAAAAGAGTCCTCTCCTGAAGGCCCACAACGTCCCAACAATCTTCTGGCCGGATTTGGCCTCATGCCACTACTCCAAGGACGTGCTGAAGTGGTATGCGGACAATAAGGTCAATTTCGTGCCGAATATATTCAACCCTCCCAACACTCCGGAGCTCCGCCCCATCGAGAAGTATTGGGCGATTATGAAGCAGCACCTTCTTAAACGACCTAAGGTAGTGAAGACAGTCGAGGAACTGAAGAAAGTATGGGTTTACATGCAAAAAACGGTTGATTCACAGGTTATGCAGAATCTTATGGCCGGGGTTAAGGCCAAGGTGCGGGCATTTGCGTATGGACTGTAAATAAAATACGAGTAAAATGGTAAAATGAAGTTTAATAGTTATTTCTCAATCCCTGAAAATTTGATGGCAATCGGATGAAAACTCGAATTTTGCGAATCAATTTTGTGTGTGGCAATTTCATCGTGGACACCCTTTAGGAAGATAGTCCAAAATGCCCCTTGGGGTTGAACGCTCAATGTGGACTTCAACAGGCAGCATTCCTAGTTCAGCATTTAAACTAGTAGGGGAAAAATCTACTTCGGCCTAATCGCCCATTCCCGGCCTATCGAGCACAAAATTGATATGGTTTCGGCGTGAACGTGTCAAACAAACGTTTGGTACAATGCTTTTATTCAATAACTGCAAGCCGAAGTGTTGAAGAACGTAAAATAATATATCGAAAACAAAAGGGTCACTTGAAGTGTACAAAAGGCGCACGCCAATTCACTTTTTTCCGTTCGATAGGCCAAAGAGAATCCCAATGGCGTTTTAATGGTTAATAGACCCAAAAAAAACCCGTAGGCCAAGTTGAGCCGCTAGAAGCAGTTTTGCATTTTCAACACAAAACGAATATTTCTCGACCCCTTATCACAACTAAAGGGCGAACACGAAATTATTGCGACACATTCAACAGGGCATAACTTTTTTACCATTCGGTAAAAATCAACCAAATTTTGCACACTTTCTCATTGATGTGTATTGTGTACATGCTGTCAAACTCGAAGTCGTGTTTTTTGATTCAACGAAAATGGAGGTGAACCAACGCGAGTTGAGAGAACAAATTCTTTCCAAACACCTGGAATTTCCTGACCTGTCGCACCGGCAGTTGGGAAAAATGTAGAACATGCATCATTCAACCGTCTCCAGAGTGTTGAAGCGGTTCCAGGAGCGGTTGACGTTGGACCACGGCAAAGGAGCTGGAAGAAAACCGGGACCGGAGAACAAAAAGACGGAGGGAAAGGTGAAGCGGATGATTAAAGCAAATCCCAACGTCTCAATCCGTGATTTGGCTAAAAAGATCGGCATGTCGCAGAGCTACGTCCAGAATGCAAAGAAGAGAGCTGGACTACATACATACAAGGTACAGAACTTCCCAAACCGCGATGAGCGGCAACAATCGACGGCTAAAACTCGGGCACGGAAGCTCTACGAGAAGATGCTGACAAAATATGGCTGCTGTGTGATGGACGACGAAACGTATATAAAAGCTGATTTTAAGCAAATTCCGGGGTTGGAGTTTTTCACCGGCAAGAGCAAGTTCGATGTGGACGACAAATTTAAGAAGAAGAAAATGTCGAAGTTCGCCTCCAAATTTCTCATTTGGCAGGCCATCTGCTCTTGCGGACTGAGGAGTGAGCCTTTCGTGACAAAGGGCACAGTAAATGGTGAGATCTACAAATCTGAGTGCCTCGAGAAGCGCCTTTTGTCGTTCTTGCAGCAGCACGACGAAGGTCCGCTATTTTGGCCAGATTTGGCATCATGCCACTATTTTAAAAGTGTCCTGGAGTGGTATGAGGTCAATTCTGTCCATTTTGTTGCAAAGGACATGAATCCGCCAAACTGTACGGAGCTGCGCCCGGTGGAGCAGTACTGGGCAATAATGAAGCGGGAACTTCGGAAGAGCAAGAAGACAGTCAAAGACGAGAAGGACATGTTAAGAAAATGGAAATAAAAACTGAGAAACTGGTACCGGATGACACTGTAAAGACTTTGATGGAGGGCATCAAGCGAAAATGCGTTCAATTTTACGCTCAAGGCTCCATCGATTAACTTTTCTTTTGATTTTTGAAGTAAATATATGTATAAAACTACCCTAAAATTTTGGTTTGATTCTAAACATTATAAGAAAATTGGCATGACATTTTCGGTGTCGCAATAATTTCGTGTTCGCCCTTTAACGGTACATATGGAAAGGAAAATAAATTTGGAAGTCATCTGTAATAATAACATTCCGTTTGGTGCTAAACTATGCTCGATTAAGAAAGACTAAGTGAGGGTTGTGCTTAATAGGCCGGAAATGGGGTAGTTAACCCTATATCTGAACAAAAAATACCAGGATTAGGAATGAAAAAGCTATGAAACATCGTATCGGGTGAAAACCCAATATCAGTGCTGGTGAATATAACGACTGTCTCGTGTCAGTGAAAAAACAGGTTCTCTCACCATCACGAGACGAAACTACCTACCATGAGCTTTCTTGTAATTGCCCAATGATCAAGCACTCATCATCTTTGACATCATCATTTCTAACTGATTTTGATTAATTTAGGCAAGCAACAGTAGGTAATCGGTAGAGTTAATACATGTTTAAGATTTCCGCGGACAAGTAACAATGATATCAATAAATGAGCTAGTAATTGTGATGGTCACAGCTCTGTCACATTTTGTCATGACAAAAAAATCAATGAGATTTTAAAAAAAGTTAAAGGTACGTAGGACTATGAGATATTTTTTTTTTTTTGCTGCTCCATTCAATAATATATGAATAACAAAATAAATATGTAGCTCAGAAATTGAAATCCAAAATAAATAAAATTAAGATTTTTTTAATTAAAAACAGTTCCTTTATTATTCATAATTAGGTTCCAAACATGTTCACCCAACTTTCGGAGACTTACTAATGTAATGGCAAAACAACTTTAGACATCAAAGTGCACCTGACATCACAAATCTGTATGTTGCAGAACTACAGTGGCCGAAATTCCTATAAGCGCATAACTGTGCACCATCCAATAGGTCTAATAAATCTGAATAAATTCGCTAAAAACAGCTACCTTCTATCTAGTTGAGCTTTCAAGTTAGAGCAAGTGAGTAAATGCGCTGTTCACCATCCAATAGGCCTTACCCAACAAACAATTTGAGCTGATTTAAGGCTGAGTAAGCAATTTTATAGCTGAAGAAGCATATTCTTGCCTGAATAAGCTCTTATCTTGCTTCCAATGTTTGTTTGGTATCCAGCTGAACAACGTTGATGAAGACCGCAACATTTCAGTCAAAATTGCGCGTGATATTGAGAGCGTATGGGAGCGGAAAAATATGAATTTGCTAATGATCATGCCATGACTGGTCCTCGGTCACTTTAGCCATGCCGAACATGCTCCAATACCCCCTGAGAAGTGACCTATTTTTGACAAGAATTAAAATTCATCATGTGATATTTCAAACTGCAAAATTTTTCAAAACTCGAACAGTGATTGAGAGTCCACGGCTACATTGACCATCTTGGAAATGATTCGTAGTTCTCGAGGAAGTAAACCGATCAGTGGAAGCCATATTGAGAGTCCATGCATTGACATACATTGATGCCACCGGACATTTTTCAGCTAGATCCAAAGCTTATCCATTTGACACCGTCTTCAACCAGAGGTTGCACAGACTGAACCACTCAACACTAGACAAAGGACAACAAATAACACCCAGTAGCCCAGTGGGAAATTTTCGGGTTGCGCTGTGGCTCTCGCAATACGCCGGAACGATGGGTGACGCCGCTAACCGCACAACCACGAAACCCACCCTTAATCGAACAGACTTGCATCGTCATGAGCTGCAGGTGGCGCCTCTCTTGCGTACTCTTCAACGAGTCTCTGT